TGGTTGGCAATCTGCTTTACCCCCCAGACATAGCACACAATGTATTTCTGATAAATTTAACAAAAGAACACTTGTTTCAGTTGACAACATTGAGAAATAATAGTTTTTTCTTCTTCTTTTTTGTTTGTTCAAGGAGGAACATGTGAAAAAAAAATCAGAAAACAGAATCCCCTATTTTTTCGGAAAACTTCTTTAAGATTACAAGTGTATTCTCTACAAGACATTTATGTTTGGGAGATTTCAACAAGTAGGATCAAATCATACTAATTTTCCAAAATTAAGACTATAGATTAGGGTAAGACTTAAGTACACCTGCTTTGACTAAATTACCCTTTTTCTTTCAACACTTGCCCGTCGTTTAAAAGAATTTGGCCGTCCCAAATGAGAACTTACGCAACAGAGCAGGTCACCTCTGCAATAAACTTCACCTTAGTTCCTTTACCTTGGTCTTCCCGGCCAGGCTTCTACTCCGCCGCCGCCACCTCCGTTAGCTCGGTTTTGCCTCCACCATCGACGATGCCTCTCTTTGCCGGTTTCGCCTTCACCATCGACACCTCTCTTCTCCGATTTCTAATACTCAAGTGAATAACAGGTTTTTGGCTCTTCTTCATCCTCTCGTCTTCTTCTTGTTCCTCCTCTCTTCTGATCTTTTCCTCCTCATCCTACGATCTTTTCCTCCTCATCCTACAACATCCTCATTCGTCCTCTTTTTTCTTCTTTCAATTTTTTTTTTTTTCCATCTAAGATCTAAAATCATAGATCCGAAAATAGAAGGATTGGATCTGATATTAAGATCCAGAAACATAGATCCAAAATGCAAGGCTTTGGCCTGTGTTTAAGATCTGAAAAGATAGATCCGAACATGGATTTCAATAATTGGTTTTGGAATTTTTTTAATCAAACATTTTAATTCTTCTTTTCTGATTTTGGACATTGATTTTGCTAATTTCGAACTTCTATTTCATATTTTTACAACGCCACAGGAATTCTGCAAAACGTTTGAAGAAACCAGATCCAAAATCAAACTTGCAAACACTAGACAATACATAGACATTAAGTGGTCAGTAAACAGACAATAAGTTCTAATAATAGTTCAATAGCAGGCAATACATAGACACTAAGTAGTCATTAAACAGACAATAAATTTTGATAATAGCTCAATAGCAGAGCAGGTCACTTAAAACAGTAAGTGAAGGGTAAAATTGGAAGTTTAAAATCCAGTTTTCAAAAATAGAACTACATGGCTCTTACGCAAGGAAAAAACGTATGTAGGTACTATTTTTTATAAAAGTGCTATGATTGAGCCCTACTGGAAGCAATTTTCTGTTTATGTTTCTTTAAAATGGTTTCAAAATTCTTTTTCGGGTACAGTTTTATTTATTAGTCATCGACTCATTGATACTTGATAGTGTTCGCAATCTGCTCGTGTTATTTTTCATACAAACTGTACATGGTATTGCTGATTCATCTAAAACTAAAGAATTAGATATTCAATCTTTCCAACATTAAAGTCAGCATATCGGGGGGGTGTGTGTGAGAGAGAAATTAATTTTCACTTTAAGGTCATCCCCATCCATGGATTATTTTTGGTATCATTTTGATGATGTGGAAGATTTTTTTTGGGATCATGGATGAGGAGTTGAGATTATTTTATGAGATTATTTGATAAAATAATCTGGTATCAAATTCTAAAGCTAGATTATTTTGAGATTATTTCCAACTTTAAGGTGATGACTAGCTTTGTAGTCCGTGCATGTCTCATAAAAAGTCTAGGTAAATTAAGTTCATGGATGAAGAGAAATTGATAGGTTTGGAGATTATTTGAGATAATCTTATGTGGAAGTGACATGACAATAAGAAGACATAAAAAATTGTAAACTTGAGTATCATGAATGGAGATGCTCTAAGAGAACAGGGCTTTAAATCTTAAATGAAATAATAGTTATTTCATAAAATAAAATCCTATAGTACAAATTAGTTTTACAATTTTAACTTAATATTGTGGTATGCTAAGTTTCATCTTAGAAGGAAAAAACGCTGAGATGTTTTTATTTTCTCTCTCTCTCTAGGGCTTTTTAGCCACTAGAGCCTTCTTCTCCGGCGGCGACCAATTCCGATCGTGGGCTCTGGCCTTCCAATCTCTGTTGTTCTTTTTGGCATTACGACGTCCAAATTAAGGTTTTGTTTTGCTGTCGAATGACTTCTCTGCAATCGGCGATTTCCTTTGGTTGGATTCCAGGTAGTGGGCATTCGCTTGGTTCTCAGCTTTGGAGGAGGAATGAGTTCGGTGAGTTGGAATTGTTGAGGGTTGAGGAATTTGGCTACCGTCCAAGGGGTGACGGATATCACTCAGAGCCATAGACCGGCAATATTTTTTCTCATGGAAACGAAGACTAACTGCCAACGCGCGAAAGAAGTCCTGTACAAACTGGGATATGGACAATTTGCAGGTTCAGACAGTGATGGTAGTAGCGGCCCATTATACCGAAGAGAGGGTTGCGACAGGGGGATCCACTATCTCCGTATTTATTTATTTTGGTGGCGGAGGGGCTGAGTGCCATGTTGAGGAGAGCCAAAAGCAAGGGGGAGGTTCATGGAGTGACAGTTTGCAGGGGAGCACCAAGGGTGTCTCAACTGTTGTTCGCAAATGACAACTTCTTATTTTTTAAAGCTTCTATCAATGAATGTGTGGCGGTTAAAAATATTTTATTAAATTATGAAGAGCTCTCGGGACAGATGGTAAATTTTAATAAATTCACCTTAGCGTTCAGCCAGAACATGGGGGAAGAGTTTAAAGTTTTTTGTAGCCATCAGTTGGGTATACCGAGGGAGAGCGGACATAATCTTTATTTGGGGCTGCCGGCGCTAGTTGGGCAAAATAAATCGGTGATATTGGGGTACTTGAGAGACCGTATTTTTAACCGAATTAAAAATTGGAATAACCGTTTTTTTATCTCGGGCTGGGAGAGCTATTTTGTTGAGGAATGTGATCCAGGCAATGCCAACTTATGCTATGAATGTGTGTTTACTGCCTAAGGATTTATGTGATGATGTGGAAAAACTGATGAACGGTTTGTGGTGGAGAGGCTCAAAATTTGAACAGAAAGGGCTGAGATAGAGGAAGTAGGAAACTAGGTGCAAGCCAAAAGAAGCAGGAAGCTTGGGACTTCGAAGATTAAGAGAATTTAATTTAGCTATGCTAGCAAAACAGGGGTGGAGACTGATCACCGAATCAGGAAGCCTCATGGGTCGAGTGCTACAAGTCAGGTATTTTCCTAATTCTAACTTTTAGAAGCAAAGTTGGAGAATAATCCCTCTTTTATTTGGAGGAGTATTTTCGAGACACAGGGGGTTCTCAAAAATAATATTAGAAGAAGAGTGGGAAACGGCATTGATGTCCAAGTCTGGGCATACACATGGTTACCAGGGACGGTTTCAGGGAAGATCACGTCTGCAAAACCGGTTGGAATAAGAGATGTGAATGTGATGGCTTTATGGGATGGCACGGGGGAAAAGTGGCATTATGAGAGAATTAGCAGATTATTTAATCAGGCTGATAGTGGTAAAATTTTGTGCATCCCGATTAGCTTACAAGAAAGGAAGGACGGCTTCTGGTGGGCGGGAGAGAGGAATGGTCTTTTCTCGGTTAAAAGTTGCTATAGAATTTTGATGGGAGACCTACAACAGGGGGCGTAGCAAAGACTGGAAATTGTTATGGGATCTAAAGGTGCCACCGAAATTCAAATATTTTGCATGACAAGCTCTTGATGGAACATTGGCCACGGTGGATAACTTGAAAACGAGAGGAGTGAATATTGTAGGGGGTTGCAAGTTATGTGGCTCGATGGATGAGAGTGCTGATCATGCACTGAGACTATGTCCAAAGGAGGCGGACGTTTGGCAGCAAGCAGGTGTGCAGATCGACGGACAGCAAGTCTCGGTCGGGCAGTGGATTTGGCGGAATATTGAGCTACCAGATAAAGTTTTTTTGTGGGAGATTTGTTGCTATTCTATGGAGTATTTGGAAGAGAAGAAATGAAGCGGTTCTGAAGGATCAAATCGAGGAGGCTTCCACTGTCTTAAGGGTGGCGGGCAACATGTTAGCTTGGAGAGATGTGCATGAGTCGACGGGGAATAAGGAGGTGGAGATGAGGAGGGCCGATGAGGGGAAATGGTGACGACCAACGGGAGGGATCATAAAAATAAATGTTGATGACGCGATTAATCAAGCGGGAGGTATTAGAGCTTGGGGTTGGGTGACTAGAGATGAAGAAGGTTTCTTTGTGAAAGCTCGCGGTTCGGGACGGAAACGAAGGCCATGGGGATCCGTGATGCCATTATGGGAGCAAGTGAGGAGGGTTGGCAGCAGGTGGAGATAGAGACATATGCACTCACGGTGGTTCAGAGGCTCAGAGCCTAAGGAAGAACGAAGGAGCTGCATATGCACATCTCATTATTGATGATATCCGTAATTTGTTAGAAATAAAGAGTAATTTCAAAATCTCTTTCTGTAAAACATCTGCGAATCATGTGACTCATACTCTGGCTAAGGATCATGTCTATGTCTCAGATCAGTCTATTGATTATGATTTTGCTTCGAATTGTATTGCTAGCCATTTTGCTAACGATTTATTTGGTTAATAAAGCTTTTCAGTTTGACGATTAAAAAAGTTTCATCGTAGAACAATGTTGAATACAATAAATGAATGACTTTGTTTTTTGAAGTAGTTTATTGATGAAATTATGCAATTTATTCGTTGCAATCACCATTGTTCTAATTTTTTTTAAGGTGACAACTTCGGTACTCATTTAAAAAATGAGGTACCATACATACCATTCACTTGATTGGTCCACACTATTAAATCACTTTTAATTTAGATTTAAATAATTCAATTGTATCATTCTGATTGGTCCATGTGGACAAAGAATATGATACCAGGTACCGTAGAATCTAACTTTTTTTTAATGCAATAAGAATATCTAAAGTCAAACTTGTAGACATTTAAGTACTTCGTACGTGGTATTTAACAAAGGTCCTGTCTTTAGGCAATGATGATGATGATTCCGTCCTAAAATCTAAACAAAGAAACCAGGAAAATGTGTTGCGTTGCTCTTCTCATCTTCCTTCGTTTTCCCACTTGACACAAACCAGTTCACGGGATCTTCACGACATCTCACTACTAGCACACGTAGCAGCATATCAAAAGCTTACTCGCAGTTCATTTTCTTTTCAGATTTTTGAAGAAATTAGTGATTATGGGCACCGGACCCCACATAACTACCCGAAATTGTTTCTGCAAATGGATAAGTCAAACTATGTGCACTGCCCACTTGGTGTCTCAAACCCAGCTGAAAACTGAATATTTTCAAACGCCGTTGGCCCATTACGCATTTATTATTGTTGTTGTTGTTATTATCAAGAAAGGATCAATCTTGATAAAGACAGCTAATAGGAAAAATGGTACGAATAAAGCTCATTTTCAAGTGATTTATGAGGTTGTTGCCTGCTAGGTGTTTGAGTTTTTGATGCTTAAGAATATGTTCTGTTTCATGTTCTAATTTTTTAACAACTGGAGTTGATCTTTATGCTGCTGACTTGGACTTGGTTTCTCAGTTTGTTCTAATGAGGGGAAGTCGTTACTCCGTCGTCTTTTGTGTCTTGCTCAACCTTCTCCATCTTCTTGCCCCTTCCTTTTCACTTCCTTTATGCACAAATTCAGGTAAGAAGCTAGTTGGTTCAGTTTTTCACGCGTTTCAAGTATAGTATGACGACGATTTTGGTTTCGTGTAGTGTTAAATTTTGGTTTTATGCTTGTGTTGTAGAAGCCCCGTTACTGCATAATGATCCTTTGAAGTTCTGCTCTTACAATGGAATATCATGCTGCAACTCTGCTGATGACTCACGAATCCAGAAGCAGTTTCAGCTCATGAAAGTGTCCGATTCTGGTTGTGCTTCTCTTCTCAAATCCGTTCTTTGTGCTGTAAGAATCAATTCGTAACAAATCATCTTAGAGTGGTTAATTACTAAAAAACAATTCTTTAATTCATTCATTTTTCTAAAACCTCAACTGATCAACTCAGCTAGCCTGCTCTCTGGTTCTGTAATGTATTAAAGTTTTTCACCTCTACACCATTTGTAGGAATGCGATAAATTCTCGGCAGAGCTTTACAGAATTAGTTCTGTTCCTAGACAAGTTCCTATGCTATGCAACTCTACAGCCTCTTCAATCTCAAACCAAACCACCCAAGGCACAAAAAGTTTCTGCTCAAAAGTGTGGACAACTTGCCAAAATGCATCCATAACAAACTCGATCTTTGCTCCCTCCTTAAAAGGTCAAGTTCCTGCACCAGTAAAGTCAAACATTACAAAACTGATGGATCTCTGGCAGTCAGAAGCAGATTTCTGCCATGTGTTTGGCGGGCAATCCGTTGATGGGTCTGTTTGCTTTGACGGTGAACCTATCACTGTCCGAAACAACACTATTCCGACAAGTCCTCCAAATGGTCTGTGCCTTGAGAGAATAGGAAATGGAACATACCTAAATATGGCTCCTCATCCGGATGGCTCCAGTCGTGCTTTTTTCTCCAACCAGCAAGGCAAAATTTGGTTAGCCACCATACCCAAGGTTTGTTTTAGTATAATACTATGAAACAATGACAAATATGCTTAGTCGCAAAACTCCATAAAGGGCAGTACTCTCTCTCTCTCTATGTGTGTGTGTGTATATATCTTGCATGATATGAAGGATTACTCTGTGACTTTTAATATGCAGTGACAATAATGGTATGTGGTGATGATGATGTTTAATTTTATATAGCAGTGACCCTGATGAATAGGAACCATGCAGCCATTATTTTGTCCATGAGTTATAGTTTAGGGATATTATAAGAAAAACCCGTGACAATATATTAAAGTGTGTAGTATGAGAAAGCTTAGTGTTTAGCCTGTAGAAACTATGAAATTGTAAGCTAAAAGCCATACACTAAAAAGTAGTAGTTTGTTATTTAACAAGGTTGGCTCTGGAGGATCATTGGAGCTTGATGTAAGCAGTCCGTTTGTTGATCTAAGTGATGAAGTTCACTTTGATACTCAGTTTGGATTGATGAGCATTGCATTTCACCCTAAGTTTACACAGAACGGGCGGTTCTTTGCTTCATTCAATTGTGATAAGCAACAGTGGCCTGGATGTGCAGGGAAGTGTGCTTGTAACTCGGATGTCAAATGTGACCCTTCAAAACTGACTCCTGATAGCGGGGCCCAACCATGCCAATATCAAGCTGTAGTGGCCGAATTCACAGCTAATGGCACTACAGGATCCTCTCGTCTTTCTGAGGTATTAATTAATTGGTAAAAAAGCTGTCTTTGTACTTCATACTTCTCTTGATAATCACAATGATATATGAATACACTTTCTAGGAAAGAAGTGCCAATGCTGGAGAAGTTAGAAGGATATTTACTATGGGCCTTCCGTTTACTGCACATCATGCAGGCCAGATTCTTTTTGGTCCAGCAGATGGATATTTGTACTTCATGATGGGGGATGGTGGAGGTTCTACTTCCTCTGATCCCTACAATTTTTCACAAAACAAAAAGTCACTGCTCGGAAAGATTTTGAGGCTTGATATTGATAACTTCCCAAGTAAGTGAGTCTTACCAACCTCAAGATTATCTGTTTTAACCACATGTCTTAGTGGCAAGTCATCCTGCATTGAATGAATATAAAAATGCAAATATATGATTGCGCTAGTCTTCTTAATAAGTTGATCTTTGAGGATGTAACCCCGGTTTTAAATTATCTCATAAGAAAGAAAAAATCACTGTTCATTCAATGCTTTTATGTTTTTATGTTCTACCCACTTTCCAGGTGAAAAAGAAGCAAACACGCAACGCCTTTGGGGAAACTACTCTATCCCCAAGGATAACCCTTACACTGAAGATAAAGAACTGCAGCCAGAAATATGGGCCCTAGGATTACAAAATCCATGGCGGTGTAGTTTTGATCATGCAAGGCCATCATATTTCATCTGTGGCGATGTCGGGAAGGTATCTTTGAAATGCTGCTGATATATATACCTAACCGATTTTCTCAATGAAAATAAATTCTGTGGTTTTAGAATTCATGCTGTTACTCGTTTCTGTGTCTGGTTTCTATCCAATAGGATCACTATGAAGAGGTAGATATAATCACGAAGGGCGGGAACTACGGCTGGCACATGTACGAGGGCCCCTTTCCCTTTTACCCTTCAAAATCACGTAAAGGGAACACATCCACGGAATCCATAAACACAATTTTTCCAGTAATGGGATACAATCACTCTGATGTGAATAAGAATGAAGGGTCTGCATCAATCATAGGCGGCTACTTTTATCGGTCCATGACCGATCCCTGCATGTATGGAAGGTGAGTTTATCCATTAACTGGACTATAGTGATCAACCATTATTCCCACACTGAAAAAACTCCATCTGTTTCAGATTAAAAAAAGGTTTTGTAAGGTTGACACCTAGGATAAAGTTGACTCTCACCTACTCCGTATTTAAATTCATATTTATTTAGTGTTAATAATTAGTTTATAATTTCTAAAAATGACATCAAATGTTCCATTGAAGCGCAAGAACTGAATTCGAATATGTTAAGATATTACTACTCAAAATCCATAATAAATTAGGAACGATGTTGACACAATGTATTGTGAAATTGCAAAAGAATTTGGCGAAGTGGGAGTGTTCCACATTGCTTCCACTACGACTGCCTAGTTTTCACATTCTGTCATCAATTTTCACTTTCTTCCTCTTGTGCAGTTTTGGTAGATAACTAGTTGCCTACCAAACACCCCTTAAAGTGTTGCAGTTTAATAAGAACGGAAATACTAAGAAGTAACTTCTAAGTCACCTTCTTCGAATAATCTTGAGAGTTGTACCCGAATGGATATGGCAGGTATTTGTTTGCGGATCTTTATGGCAGTGCAATCTGGGCCGGGAGTGAAAATCCAGAGAACAGCGGAGTTTTCAACGCCACGCTGGTTTCTATCGCGTGCTCTCATGATTCACCATTAAATTGCAGCTTTGTTCCAGGAAGCTCCTCACTTCCTGCACTGGGTTACATTTTCTCATTTGGAGAAGATAACAATAGGGATGTTTACATCTTAGCCAGCAGCGGTGTTTACAGGGTTGTTCCGCCCAGCAGGTGCAAGTTTAGTTGCTCAAAGGAAAAAGCTACTTCCATTCCTGGCTCACATGGTGGTCCTCCTCCTCCTGCTTCACAGGCAACTCTCGCTTTAAGGCCGCGGTACAGAAAATGGGTAATGCTGCTATTGTTTCTGTTTTTTCTTGGTGTCTTGACCTGATTATGACTTGCTGTCCATGGTTTGGAGGCAAGCTTATGTCCATGCAGTCACAATTTGATCTTCTTCACCATCATATTCTTCATCTACGTTTGATGTTTTTCCACACCATCAAATGATTTGATAAGCATAACTTGAAAAATAATTCTTGTATTTCTATGGGCGGTAGTGATGTATTTCTATTGGAGGGTTTTCCAACGATAACGGTTATCTGGAATCATGATTTTAATACCGTTAAATTCATTTATTTACAAAGGATATTGCTTTCTTTTGAAAGGAGATATTACTAGCTACTAATATAATACTATCGTATAACATTCACACCTTCCAACTTCCAAGTTCCAATGCCAAGTTCTACATTTCTAATTTACTTTTTGAAGGAACATTCATCAAGCCAAACTTAACTAATCTAGTGCATGGGATTAAATAGATATATAAGACCTAACTGTTCCACTCCGATTTGTAAATTTCAATTCAGATTAAAATATACTACCTCCGTCCCGTTAAAAATAGGTGAAAAATAAGAGAAGTAAAAACTGTGTGGTCGAGGTTTGTGCATAAGCTCAAATTAGTTGCTTTAATAGAGATTGTAAAAAAAAATTGGAACAACAAAAAAAGGAAGTTGACAAAGCCGGGAGTAGGTAGTAACTCACTAGTGAAACCGGTCCAATGAATAACCAAAACTAAATTCAATGAAAAATCACAGATAAACCATTCTATTGTTTATGTTAGGCCTGTTAAGGTCCTTAAGGAGTCGAGCCGAGCCCGAACACCCACAGCTCGAGTTCGGCTCGATAAGGAATTAGTGGTGTTCGGGTTCGAGCTCGAAGCTCGGCGAACTTTACAAATGAAGCTCGTGTTCGGCTCGATGGCGTTCGATGTTCGAACCGAGCGCTCGATTAGCTCGATAAATATGCCCGAATTTAAAATTTTAGGTGATGCTCATTAATAGGCTCGTGCTGGAATGATTCAACAAGTATTCGGTTCGTTAATCATCATATTTCAATTTATAAAATCATACTAATTATATTTAAATTTTGACATATACTACGTATATAAATTATATTATAATTTCAGGGTGTTCGATAGCCTCGAGTTCGAACTGAGCCGAATACTACTATGTTTGAGCTCGGTTCGATTAATTTTTCGAACTTAAAACTCAGCTCGGGTTTGAGTTTGAAAGCTCTTTAAGCTCGGCTCGTTAGGTTCGAAACCAAGTTCGAACTCGAATAGTTCGATAAAAGCTCGATTCGTTAACAATCTTAGTTTATGTTTTAAAAATTAACGGAACATTAAAAAATGGCAAAACAAGAGTTTTTCTGGATTTTATTTCCCCCCAAATGAACACGACCAAATCGAGACCTCTAGTCTAGCATTAAGGCAAATGAGTCGGACTTTTGTACACTGCCAAGATAAATCCCGCCTTTTTCTTAAAAAATTGTCTGTGTATAGAAATGCAACTAGGGCATGTATAGAAATGCAACTAGGGCATGTATAGAAATGCAACTAGGGTGTGTACAAAAGTGTGCACCAATATTTTTTTTGAAGGCACATATCTCTCGAAAACATTCAATGTCTCTTCACACACAAAGAGTAGGGTGTGTACAAAAGTGTGCACCAATATTTTTTTTGAAGGCACATATCTCTCGAAAACATTCAATGTCTCTTCACACACAAAGAGAAACATACAGACATACAGTACAGAAGTAGCATGGGATGTACAAGAAGCTTATGTAGGATAAAATTACTGCAAGCAGCTGGAGAAATGCAATGGGGCTATGGTGGTGGCATTTCCCTAATTGATAATCTTAAGCCCAGGTGCCTTTGAGAAGAGGAGTGATGGCGGCAGCCTCCCCACCAAAAGCGCTGACCAAACCGGACGAACAGGGCTCGTGGTGGCCCTACATATCCTTTACTTCCGCCTTCACCTCCCGTCTCAGCTCCTCATCAATGTTATCAGAAGCCGGTATTAGCAGAAACTCACACCCCTCATATTTCAAGAAATTCGGCGGGTCTGCCGGACTAAACTTCCGCTGCCCCATCTCCGCCTGCAGATGTGCCGGAAACACAACCCTCCTCTTCCTCTGCAGGTAGGGGCGGAGGCAGGGCACTGGGTCAGACTAGGCCGGTACAAAGAATATTTTTAGAAAAAAGTTTACATGAAATTTTTTACCTTAAAAATTAAGCTATTTTTAAAATTTGGGGTGGGTCATGGCCAAGGTTGGCCCACCCCTAGCTCCGCCCATGTCTGCAGCCCTGTCCAGCCCCCACGCCCGCTTTGTTCTTCGGGGTTTTTGATCTGTATTATAAACGAAGCTTCTCTCTTTATGTTAAGCTCCTCTTGCGGCTCGTTCCTCCCATCTTCCGCCGGGAATTCCAGCTTGTATACTAAATGGGTGTGCATTTTCTTCCCTCGCCGGCAGCCCTCGCTGGCCCACCGTCCGGTGACCTCTGGTCAAAGTTTAGTACCCCCCCCCCCCCTTCAAAACCGCTCTCACGTCCTCTGTTTTTGTCGTCACCATCTCCACGAATCCTCAATGTGGACTGTGACCAGATTTCTCGCCAGACGGGTCAGGCAGTCTTCCTCCCCATGAGGTTCAACCGGAGCAGCAGCAGCTTCTCGATGTTGATTTCTTGGCACCCATGTCCTCCCTCGACGTGTGATTCATCCTTCTTCTCCGATGTGAGGTCACGGGTCTGTTCGTCTTTGCCGGTGTGATCACCAAGCTCAGCTCCTTCCTTCCCGGAGGTGTGTTCTTGCTTTACTTCCACATCCCTCTTGCCGGACTCTGGTCGGAGAACTATGTAGAGTCGTTGAACGTCGTCCCTGTCGTGGGCTTCTTCCTTGCCGACTTTTGGCCGGTAAAAGAAGAAAATTTCCCCACGTTCCTACCAGTGGCGGACCTAGACATCCGGGCTCAGTGTATGCACATATATAACTACAAAGTTTTGGACGTAAAAAGGCTAAGTAAAATATATAGATACCTTAAAAAGGTATAATAAAATATCTTGATCATTTGGATGATAACTACAAAGTTTTGGACGTAATACAGGGTCTGTAGGCAAATCATCTACATTGACCTCAATCCGAGGTTGTTTAAAAGTATGAGACCCGCTAGCTTCATTATTATGAATTACATCACGTCTTGGTCTTGTAATAGTAAAAAATTATAGATGGACATTTTGTCTACAGAAAATGTAAAAATCAAAATACCACTATAAATATGAACAATACAATATGTCAAAAAATTATTAATATACTAACTGAAAAATGAAAACAATAATTTATAAATTCAAAATTAGTTATTGTAATTCCCCCTAGTTACAAATATAAAATTAATTACAAAGAAAAGCTAAACTACACTAGTTGTTTAAATAATTAACTCATGATATGTGAAATATGATAAAGTATTTGAGATTAAAGAATACAATATTAATAAGGTTTTATTGTTTTAATAATTTAGGGCTAGAGAAACTAATAAAACCTTGAGAAGTAGAGTAAATGTGAATTGCAACTTCATACATAGATAATAGATAAATAGATTGATTGTTAACAATAATAATTCGAACAATGATAAAAATAATTATTAACTACTAAGGACTTAATATTAGACAAATAAAAACCTAAAATAAATCTAAGCACTAAGGAGTCAATCGCATCGCCAGAAACTGACAGAGAGCTAGAAGATACGTATGATGTTTTGAAGAAAGGGATGACTAGGGGTTTAAATGTGTGTAATTGAAATTTGGATTGTAAAGGCCAAGTACTAAATATCCATTTACTACCTTATGGTCCAGTCTAACATGGCAACAAAGAGGAGAAAATAAAAAGTAAAAAGCCCATCTGCACGGCCCACATGCTAAAAATATAATCTGAGAAGTGCTATCAAAATATAGCCTTGTGGGGAATCAATCCCGCAACCTGTAGCCCAAAGGGGGTTTCTATTTTTTGGGCTACTACCACATAGGCTAGTAGAACCTCTTGGGATGAAGGGAGTGCTTACCCTAGTTATACTATAGGTCCGCCCCTGGTTCCTACAACAAAGCATAAAAAGTTAAGAACCAAACAGATTTGGTTGCCAATTACTCTTCTGTATATCTACTAAAATTATTGTTAAAGCATAATATATATTTTCAAACCTATTATGTGTAGTTGCCAATTACTCTTCTATATATCTACTAAAATCTTAATCTGTGAAACCTACCTAAATTTGAGACCAGAACAATCCATAACCCTAGCAAAAAATCTGGCTAGGTGAATTGTGCACAAAACAAGATACTACGGAAACCTGTGTTTTTGATTTGAGAAAATCAAGCTACAAACAGTATAAACAATGTAGCAATTAAAATGAGGTCAATTAAGTAAATGAAAATGAACTAAAATCACAGGCGCGACAATGAAAGCAGTGAGGGAGACAAGAACGAAAAGGAGAGACAGAAGCTTAATTAGAGCTAACAACATTTGAATCGAAAGGCATGAAGATGGGGTGAATCGGAAATGTAACACCGTCCCCAAATATATATTTACTTTTAAGTAAATGATGTAATAAACTTTATGGAATGAGTAAGGAATTTATGAAGTTGTGAATTTTTATTATTCCTTTCGCGTGAATAGTAAATTGCACGTGGGACCCACATCGGGAGCGGAGGCCGCCCGATGTTCCGCAGATCACATAAATAATTCTTATGGGTCGATATGATATTCATATAATGGTGGATATGTTATTTGGGCCAAAGAAAAGGCATAATGTTGATCGATTGGTCAAACTGGGCCCAATTGCCAGTATTGGCAATTTAACAGATAACAGCCCGAAAATGAATTTCGGAGACTTCTAAATTAATGTTTTGGAATATGTATATATATATATATATATATATATATAATTTCAAGAGGCCATTACGATAGAGAACATGTAATATATTTTATTTGACCCGATAAAATAAAATATATTTAAAACAATCCGAAAAATACAACTTTCGGGACCGATTGTACACTTCTGGACAAAAAGGGGTGACCTCCCACATAAGTGGGGGCCAACCCACGAAATTTCCAGCTCTTGGAGGCTTGTTTGAGAGCAAATGTGGCTGAAAGCCATTGAGGAGATGGGAGAGACCACTTTGACACCTAATGGACCCATAACCTCACTCATTTGCCAAACAAAGACAAAAACACTAGCCTCCCTCCTCTCCCACTCATTGTACTCGTCCAGCACCAAGGAAAGGTGGAAAAGGAGCTCTGAACCCTCACCTTCCATAGCCAACTCGAGTTCAAGTTCCAACAAGAAAAAGGGAGAAGTTTAGGAAAGGAAAATGGAAAAAAGTGTGGTGATTAAGGTAATGACCTTGTATTAGTTTTTCCTCTAATCTTTAACTACCATATGACTTACATAGCATGCAAGGAACCCTTTGAGTAGCTCTACATATTTATAAATGTTGAAAGAAGGGTTGAGAGGTGATTCTATGTCCAAGAACGGACTTAGGAGCCAAAACGACCGGTTCGCCGGAAAATAACCTTTTAGGGGTTATTTGTATTAATATGGGTTTTATGATTATAAAACCTTGATAGGAGCTTGATTAAGGCTTTCAAGAGCTTTCACGAAGTTGAAAGAGTCACCGGAGTTGTCGCCGGAGTTCGCCAAAAGTCGCCGGAGTTTCGCCGGAGTTCAACCGAGTAGAGTAGAACTTCGTAGCGCTAATTCGAGGTGAGTGGATGGCTTAATATCTTATAACTTTTGGGTTAATTATGAGATTACCTAAATAAATGTTATACATATTCATAATGTTGTTTAAAAGATATTTAAACACGTGATTAGCCAAAGTGACTAGGCTTGTATGAAATGAATTACTTGAATAGACATGGAATATGCTATGAAATTTCTATGAAATTTACATGCTTTGGAATGAAGGGCAAAAGAAGCTTAGAATGAATGTTATTAACTTAATCCATGTGGTGATTAAGTTGATAAATATAAGACTTGAAATAACGGACAACGAAAACGTTGACCGATTGATAATGGATTTATCAATACCGGTTGGTATTAGTTAATTATAAGTCTATACAAATGCATGGCTTTGCATGGATTGAGATACATAAGCTTTATGGATTGATTTAACTATGAATGAATAAATATGATATAGACTCTATCTAGATTGATAGGAGGTTGATCATAGGATTATAACTTGGTGGGGGACCCTAGGACTTAAAGTCTTTAACGCTCATATTTTGGTGGAGGACCCTAGGACTAAAAGTTCTTAACACTCATATTTTGGTGGAGGACTCTAAGACTTAAAGTCCTTAACACTCATACTTTGGTGGAGGACCCTAGGACTTAAAGTCCTTAACACTCATATTTTGGTGGAGGACCCTAGGACTAAAAGTCCTTAACACTCATATTTTGGTGGAGGACCCTAGGATTTAAAGTCCTTAACACTCATACTTTGGTGGAGGACCCTAGGACTTAAAGTCCTTAACACTCATATTTTGTTGGAGGACCCTAGGATTTAAAGTCCATAACACTCATACTTTGGTGGAGGACCCTATGACTTAAAGTCCTTAACACTCGGATTATAAATAGGTGGAGGACCCTAGGACTTAAAGTCCTTAACACTCGGATAATAAATTGGTGGAGGACCCTAGGACTAAAAGTCCTTAACACTCAAATATAAATTGGTGGAGTACCCAAGGATTATGTTATCCTCAAAACTCATAGATTATGATATTGAAATATGGACAAGGAGGAGTCCTATACACTCATAGGTATATGAGTGGGTTGGGGTTTTTAGTCAAGAATATTGACTATTACTATTTTCCCAAACAAAACAGTGATCCACGGATCGGGTATTTTCCAAGTGTATATATACTAATAAGTATTTCTTAACTTGGGAGGAAAGACTATTTATATAAGTATCACCCTATGTTTTGGTCTTATACTTGAAACGCTAGTTATTCTATATTTAGCCTGCTACTCGCTCGATACTTGTACTGACCCCTTCGGGGCCCCCCACCATTTTCATGTTGAAGCTAGAGCTTGCTACCTGCACCTTCTACGGGTGACATCCAATTCAAGGAAGACGTGGTTCGTGCTTCCTCATGTTCTTTCAAATTACTAAACATTGCCCATGGATATTTTTATTTGTTTTAAACTACTTTTGGGTTTGCAGGCCCATGTTATTGGCCGAATGTGGCCTATGAATTACCGCTGAATATTTCCGCTATTCAATGATTTAATTGTGATGTTGTTATGTATGTTTACTACTGAGTATGGATGGATTGTTTTCTCGAACGCCTTGTATGATTTAGTGAGGTTGACCCGCGGGTAACGTCACTCGATTATACGACGGTTGTACACGCGCTTTGATTGCGGTCTGGGACGTGACAGAAAAGACCTATCGAATCTAGCCGTTTGGATATCCACAGGATTACAGGAAGAAAACACTCCGTAGATACCAGGCCGGAGGTCCTTCGCCTACCACCACCCTTTCGCCTACCGCAACTACTCCGCGTACCGCCACTCCTCTGCTGCTCGATCTGCTTCCATATTCAGGTAAAATGATTTTAAAATAAACATTAAGTGTTAAATTTTTTTTAGTTTCTCTTCGTTTTCCCTATACTTTTTATCTAATGTTTGTTTTGTGGCTTTAAATTTGAGATCTTGAATATTACTCCATCCGTCCCATTTTATCTGTCATACTTTCCTTTTTGGGTTGTCCCAAAATAAGTGTCTCCTTTCCCTTTTTGGAAAGAAATATGCGGCCTACATCATTTCACTTTGTTATACTCAAACTTCAACCACAACTTTTACTTTTTCAACCACTTAATTAATAATCGTGCCAAGTCAAACTAAGACACATAAAATGTGACAGAGGTAGTACCAATTTGATAATTCAAAGCAGAAGAGAATACTTATATCCGGAGTTTGCTTAATTTCTTTAAATCAAAGATCAGTCATGAAATAGTCCAGGTCAAAGTGTGTGTATTTTGGAATGTTTGTATGTATTTGTTGAGTTGTGCCAATGAGAATTTCATTGAATCGATTTATTAAACTGTAATAATCATTCTAAAATTCAAATAGCACTAAATACCTTGTGATATGAGAAGTTATCTGAAGTAATAATGAATCTAATACATGTGTTACATATTTTTTTATTATCGGTATAATGATGGCTCATATAGGAGCCATCATTATATTTAAGTTGAAGAATGATTTTTATAATAATGGGCACAAATGATTCAAAGACGGTCAAAGCAGACCCCGAATCACCTAATTCTAATGCAAAAGACTTACAACAAAAGAAATAATTAATGAAAATGTAAACAGTCTGATCATGAAAAATAAATACAAGTAACAAAAAACCGTAAAAATAAATTTCTGCTCCATCTTCAAGAGCACTATCGCACTGAAGGAAATGAAAAGCAGATAGGGAGTAAATTACGGACTTAATTGTATCTCCTTTCCGTATCTCGTCGAAATTGTTAATGAAAATACCGGCGTATTTCCTGCGATGTCCATATCCTTGTAAAGGAAAAAAAATGAGAACTTGTCTGATCGGTGGTTTCACTAATTGTTGGGGTTTTGTAATGCAAATATATAAAGTAGCAGAGATAATACAGAATCCTGCCACCACTAAAACTCCAGCGCTGATGAAGTCCGATAGCTGTGACCTTTTCCAAAACACTACTACTGCCATCAGCACCAATCCGACACCATATGCAATGCTGCGGGGAATATAATACACATCCGTAAGCACGTATAGTTTACTCATTACGTCCCAATTTAATTTACAAAATCTTCTATTTTAGCTATTCGATTTTGTACTTTCTATTTTAATGTATTACTCCCTCCGGCCCGCTAAAATTGTCCATTTTATCTTTTTGATCCGTTCCACAAAGATTGTTTCATACTCTCTCCGTCCCCGAAAGAAGTTCACCATTGCTTTTCACACATATTAAGAAAGAAATTTACTGGGGATAAATTTTACTGTTTGGACACTGTTTGGATATTGTTTGGCACTGTTTTGATATAGGTAATTTGCCAGATAAGGAAAAGTGAACTTAATTCAGGGACTACCCAAAAAGGAAAGGGTAAACTTGTTTCAGGGACGAAGGGAGTACTAAATTAGGTAAAGTTTGTGTGGTTCTAAATCATTCTTACTTTATTCTTACTATATCAATTTAATATATATCACATAAATCACTTTTTATTAATTTGCGTGTCACTCTCTCTTGTCCCATTGTTAGTGGGACAAAGAGAGTAATATTTTTTATGAAAAAAATATTGTTAAACTTTCAAAATCTATTTTTTTTAATTTTTTTTACTAATACAAATTTATTAATTAATTTAATTTAATATATGTTTTTTACTAAAACATATGAAAAACTCCATTATAGGACTACTAGTTTAATCTTAAGTAGCGTATGACTAAAAAAATGGTGGAATGCCGAAATTGCCCTGTGACACACTTCTTCCGTTCGCCACTTGCGAGCCCTGCGATGAATGCAGCTCCTCCTCCTCCTCCTCCTCCCCCCCCCCCTCCCCCCCCCCCCCCCCCTCCTCTTCTAATTTCTAATCCTTTGTTTTCTTCTTCTTTTCATTTTTAGGATTTGAATTTTATTTACTCCATATTAATTTGGAATTTTTGGATCTTAATTTTATCTATTCAGCAAAATGCCACTTTTGTAATCTGAAATGCCAAAATTATTGGTTATTTGAAAAAACTTTCACATTTGTGGCAATATACTTATCAGAATGACAATCTGAAAATGTCATGTCCATAAGAAAATGTCATTTTTATGTCATTTTATGGCATTTTTATGGCTTATCTGAGAATGACATAACTACTTGTTAGTAGAAATGACATGTTTTTGACATGTTTTCCAAATGATGTCAAAATTTTCATCCTTAAATTGCCATAGTTTTTTATCTAAAAAAATTCATATTTTTTACAACTAGGAATGTCATGTTTAGAGTGTCAGTTTTTTGAGGAACAATGTCAGTCTTATGACATACTGTCATCTTGATAAATGCAATGTCATAAAAGTGTCATTTTTCTAGTTGCTTGTAATTTATGGCATTTTGATGTTCCAAATTAATCAAAATTAATAAATAAAAAATTTAAATCTAAAGAAGAAGAAAACAGAGGACCCAGATTCGAAGAGGATGGGAAGGAGAGGACAAAAAAAGAAAAGAGGAAGAAAAAAGGAAAAAGAAGAAGAGGAGAAGGAGAGGAGGTCACCTGTCACGGTGGAGGAACTGCAGCGGCTCCAATCTTGAGGACGACTCCAATCTGGAGGACGGCTCCAATCTGGAGGAATTGAACCCTCTTCTTCTTAATGAGATTGTAGTTTTCAATTATTAAAGTGGAGCAATTGATTGTATTGAAATTATTCTTGACTTCAATGGCGAACTTGGAAAAGAATAGAGACTGGAGAGCAACGACTTCAATGGAGAGCAGTGGCGTCAATGGGAGAAACGCAGCTGAGCAGAAGAAATCGCACACACCGAACAAAGAGAGGCGGAGAAATTGAGTTTAATTAGAGGAAGGGTAAAAGTGTAATCTGGAGTCCTATTTGGGAAATAAAAAACTTGATGTCCTATTTTGGAATTTAGTCTATGTTTTAGTCTGCACAATTTCTTAAAAGTAAAAGTAGTAAAGTACCGTACCATAGGATAACATTGGCTCGTCCCATGAAGTCTTTAAAACGACAAAAATATGCAATAATGGATGCAAAACCAGCAAGCACAATAAGAATCGCCCCTGAAATCACACAAGGGAATATGGCTCTGCAGCTCGACGCGCCGTCCTCATTTCCCTACATGTTATTACATGTATATATATATTCCGGGAAGGAGGGAGAATGTAGTATTAGTACGTGGTTTCAAACTACAAATGTAAGACTAAACTTAATGACGAAAATCTTATATACCCTTGAATAATTTCCCAGGGCACGGTGGTCAACTGGTCACTCCCAAGGCGGGTTGGTCATCGGAGGGTGGCGGCGGAGCACCGGCAACAGCGGCCGGAGGACATGTTGCCGGAAGTGGCCGGAGGTGACGGTCAGTGACAGTGGCCAGAGGTGGTAGCCATCGGCGGCGGCGGTCACTATCAAACGAGGTAACTGTAAATGGCCCAAATAGGTAATTGCAATGGGTCAAGTCAGATAACTGTAGTTGATTGGTTCGGGTAACTGTAACTAATCGGGTCAGGTTAATGAGTGGGTTCGGACAGTGGGGCGGGTCTTGGCACTATCAGCTAAAGTCACTAGGGTAAATTAGTAAGTTTAAAACTTATAAGTCACATTTATGATTTTTTTTAAAAATAACTTGTTTTTGTCTGACGGCTTCGATTTAGGATGTTTTTACTTGGACTGTAGTTTGTCCCAGACCAGACTAGACCAGACCAAAACAAACCAGACCAGACTTGGATAGTTATAAAAATACAAAGAAACCCGACCATACAAGACCAGTTCAGACCATACCAAACCAGATCAGACCAGACCAGCAACAGAGGGACATCATATATTCATATATATGATGAATATATAGCTCTCTAGCTCCCTCATTCGAGACCATCAAATTAAAACAACTAATATGCACACACGTCTAAGTGTAATTATAAAACTAATTGCCTTATATAGGGGCAAATTAAAGCAATTATGAAAAAAATAGGATAAGAAACACAACGTTTTTTCATAATTTATTTAATTGATCTTTTGATTGAATTTTAAACTAAAATTTGGTAGAAATAATATAAATTTCATGAAAATAATGCTCACAAAATTTATCAAAAAAATTACCCCAAGTCGGTGGGCCAATCAAGGCCCCTTATCCCTTAGCTATACGTACCTCCGTCCCTGCGAGCAATTCAAGTAAGAATTACAGATTATTTAAATGAATATATGAAGTCCATTTGCACATACCCTAGACTTGAAAGCTCCGAGAATGCCATCAACCATGCCTGCAATTGCCATTATTGAAACAAATGTAATCAGGAGACACGCACCGGTAGATCCCATCAACCCTAAACTTGGAGATCGATCTCTTGTTATGAGGCAGAACTAATTAATATTAATTGCCTAGACCAATCTCTTGTACTCCGTATAACTTTGCTATATATTTGAGTGTATATATACTACGTACTACTTATAGGAGTATGTTAATTACGCCTTTTTCAATAAGTTGAAACAAACTATTCATGCCAGGACATACCTAAGGGCTACTTATACCACCTTAGCTTTGAATTCTTTAGTCTTCAAATATACGGAATATATAGTTATCATTACTCCTTCATACGTAATATCTGACTTAAGTGCTCTGTACGTAATATCTGACTTAAGTAACTAGTTACTTCTATGAGGTAGTAGTAAAAGTTGATAATGTTTGAAAAAAAGTGATTTTGAAAAGTAAAAGTTGGTAGTATTTGGTAAAATAAGTGTTATTTTGTATAATAGAAAAAATGAAACACTTTTCACACAAAAGTCGAGAAACGCTTTTTTAAATAGAAATTGTCATTTGAAAACACTTTTTTTTATTATTTTTTTTAAGCCAAAAGCTGAGAAACGCTTTTTTGAAGCAGTTGCAAACACTCCCTTAATAATAATGCATAACAATGTTGCATAGCTGTGGTATAAACATTTGCATCATTTAATGAGTTATAAAATGGTTTTAAAAATAATGATAACATTTATTATTCAAAGTCAATAAGAGAGACACACTGAGGGATATTAACCCCATGATATTTAGTAATAGGACTCTGATACCAATTACAACACCAATATTAGAATATTAAATATTAACTAAATATATTCTAGCATAATGAAATTGATTCGTTCTGTCATATAATTTCTATGGAAAATTATTAAGGCACACCTTGGGTTACACCGTGGGGTACACCCCATTTATTTGCCCTTCACACAGACAAAAAACGTAAAAACTCAGACACTTTCAATTAAACTGTCGGTGTGAGTTTGCAGATCTGTCAGGCTGGTTGCACGCAAACCAATGTCGGTGTGCACAGACACTAGTTGTCTGTGTAGACAAAAAAGTGTCGGTGCGAACAAAGTTGGTTTGCAAGTTCGGGGGGTGGGGGTGGGAAACTAGTATCGGTGTACACAGACATTAGTTGTCTGTGTAGAAAAAAGTGTCTACACATATACAATTTTTGTCGGTTTTCTTTCCTTCTCTCTTTTTACGTTTTATGCACACCAACACTGATTTGCTTTCAGTGTCTGTGTACACCGACAAAAATTGTATATGCATTGACACTTTTGTTTCTACACAGACAACTAATGTCTGTGTACACCGACGAAAATTGCATATGTACAGAAACTTTTTTCTACACCGACAACTAATGTCTGTGTACACCGACACTGGTTTCCCAACCCCCTGAACTTGCAAACCAATTTTGTTCGCACCAACACTTTTTTGTCTACACAGAGAACTAGTGTATGTGTACACCGACATTGGTTTGCGTGCAACTAGCCTGACAGATCTGCAAACACACAAAGACAGTTTAATTGAAAGTGTCTGTTTTTTATGTTTTTTGTCTGTGTGAAGGGCAAATAAATGGGGTGTACCCCTGGGTGTAACCCAGGGTGTACACCAAGAAGGATTCAATTTCTATTGACATTAGTTTTCGCAGCTTGTTGTGTAAAATAGAACTTAGAGAGTAAAGAGTAATACATAGAAGCCATGATAAATGATCAAAGGAATCTTATAAGAGCGAAGATATCCAATCCAAGAAACATTTATCTAAAAAAAGTACGATTACACATCGCAATGTATTCAGTAATGAATAAATACACCACAAATTAAGACACCCGAATATCATTTATCCGGTATGTTTATTTGGATGTGCTTCTCATTATTTCTTCTTTTTATGCATTTTCACATATACTTCTTTTTCTCATTGATCCTCTTAGTGCTTCATGTGCTTCTTTTTCTTTTATGCATTTGCAATAAAAATACAACAACTATATTATATGACAATAATATAACAGTGGCATTTCATATTAATAGCCTATAATATAACAATTCACTATGACACTTGGAAGTGACTAATTGTTAGTTTTTCTATTTCTGTAACAAATCTCACCCAAAGTATGCAATAAAAAATGAAATTACTATTTAAAGCAACCTATAATAATATATATAATCAAAAGCTCTAACTTCACTCAAAATTTCCATGTATCTTTAAAAAAACTGTTCAACTCTAAACAAGGACAAGATACATCTGAAATGAGGAGTAGGAGTAAATTAGATATTTCATGACAAATGGGTAAACTATGTTGGATTTTCAAATGAATTCCAAACTGTAATTCAACAAATGAATCCAACATTAACAAACACGCTAACATTCATAAGGATTTCAGTAGAGTACAAAGTTTACATCAAACCAAGTCCAATATGAAGAATATATATAATAGCCTATATCTAATAAAGTTATTCCACAAGAGTTACGATTCAAGTTGTTTTTGTCTTAAAAAAAAGACACTAAGTTGATTGAGTAAAGAAATTGTGTTTATACCTCTCAGTGCACTATGCAAATTAAAATATGATTGACATAAAGCATAAATGGATTTGGCTAACATAATTGACCATTGGGGCAGTCTGGGGTATGCTGGTACAGGACCAAAGAGCAGCCATATTTCGACTATTAATGAGTAAAGTCTCTGGAAAGACTATCAAAAACATTAATGAGTAATGTTAGTTTTTGAGTCAATATCATCTTCTCCCCTGCCTTCATGCCACAACTCTTAACAATTCTTCACATATAATCCATTTATATACTAAATAAGCCAAGAAAACTAAGTAAGTAGTGGACTGAGGTGCAAATTAAATAATTTAGTTTTCCTTGTAGATCTTAACACCTAAGAATTGATATTCATAAAAATGCATTACCAACTTAAAATTGAGAAAATTGAGTCAGCGTGATAGCCTAAACCACAATTGAAACTTAGATGGAAGGTAATCCACCGCATCTCAATTCAAAATCATAAGAGAAAGTCAAATTTAATTAAAAAACGAGGTGTTACAGTAATGAAAAAAGTAAAGGTTTTGTCAAAGAGATGCTTAATCACCACAGTCGATGTTAGGGCATTCCTTGCCAAGTCGTAGGACCTTTTTAGAATCATCAACCTGGTAGAACTGCAATTCGATGAGCTTAATCTTGTGTTTCTTCACACCACCGTGGAGGAAGATTACGAGGAGAAGTGGAACTGTCTCTGGATCAGGTAGTCTATAGGGTGCGGCCGTCATCGAGCTGCTTCCTCGTGAAGAGGTCCGGCCTTGTCTAAGCATTAAAGCAAACATGTCTTAAAAACATAGCAATGTTTCCAATTTCCAATTTAAAATAAAACACATTCACTTTTTTTTTTTGAAAAATTTCTCTTCACACACAAAGAGAAACATACAGTACATAACATTATATAGTTGCTGATGAGTTGGGATGTACAAGAAGCTTATGTAGCTATGCAGGATAAAATTACTACAAGCAGCTGGAGAAAAGCTCTAGGTAGGCTATGGTGGTGACATTTCCCTAATTGAAAATCTTAAGCCCAGGTGCCTTTGAGAAGAGGAGTGATGGCGGCAGCCTCCCCGCCAAAAGCGCTGACCAAACCGGACGAACAGGGCTCGTGGTGGCCCTCCATATCCTCCACTTCCATCTTCACCTCCCGTCCCAGCTCCTCATCAATGTTATCGGAAGCCGGTATTAGCAGAAACTCACACCCCTCATAGTTCAAAAAATCCGGCGGGTCTGCCGGACTGAACTTCCGCTGCCCCATCTCCGCCTGCAGATGTGCCGGAAACACAGCCCTCCTCTTCCTCTGCAGCCCTCTCCAGCCCCCACGCCCACTCTGTTCTTCCGGGTTCTTGATCTGTATTATAAACGAAGCTTCTCTCTTTATGTTAAGCTCCTCTTGCGGCTCGTTTCTCCCGTCCTCCGCCGGGAATTCCAGCTTGTATACTAAATGGGTGTGCATTTTCTTCCCCGGATTATGCCTCAGGATGAGGTAATCTCCCTCGCCTGCCGCCCTTGCTGGGCCCACCCTCCGGTGACCTATGGTTGAAGTCTCGTACTCCTCCCCCTTCAAAACTGCTTTCACGTCCTCTGTTTTTGTCGTCACCATCTCCACGAACCCCCAATTCGGGCTGTGACCGGATTTCTCGCCGGACGGGTCGGGCAGAGTCTTCCTCCCCATGACGATCAACCGGAGCAGCAGCTGCTTCTCGATGTTGATTTCTTGGCACCCATGTCCGCCGTCGACGTGCGATTCGTCCTTCCTCTCCGACGTGACGTCACGGGCCGGTTCGTCTTCGCCGGTGTGAGCTCCGAGCTCGGCTCCTTCCTTCCCGGAGCTCTGTTCTTGCTTGACTTGGACCTCCCTCTGGCCGGACTCTGGTCGGAGAACTATGTAGAGTCGTTGCACGTCGTCCCTGTCGTGGGCCTCTTCCTTGCCGACTTTTGGCCGGTAAAAGAAGAAAATTTCCCCACGTTCCTACAAAGAAAAGCATAAAAAGTTGAGAACCAAACGGATTGAGGATTAATTGTGATGAAAAAATTCACCTGTACTTCAACAGAGGGATCGCTTGTTCTAGACTGGGATTTTTTTTCTTCACCCGCCATGTTTTATGCTGCTGTCTGTTTACGGCATTAGCTTCGGTTTTTATACGCCGGCCGGTGGAAGAGGCCGTGTACATGTCCTTACTACAGACAGTCAGCAAGGATGAGGATACGTGTCCTTCACTTGGCCTGCCAAAACAACGGGATGGGCTGCCACTATCTTTATCTTCTGGATAACGTGTTCATTGGGCTGCTTGGCATTGGCCTGCACGTTCACAAATCACAACTACCAAAAGTTTCATTTCTTGAATTCTTTTTTGAAAAATAAAAATATCACTGTGCTAGTTTTATTTTCACAAAAATGTGAATAATTTTTATATAATTAATACATATTTGTTTTAAGGGGTTCCCTTAAAATATGACTAAATTAAGTTGATTTCGATCTAAAAGAATGACTTTCTTTTTTATATGAATAAAAATGTGACTAACAAAGTATGGAGTAATAAATTTTAAAAATAATACTCCCTCCGTCCCTTATAACTTCGTCAAGTTTGACCGACATGAGAATTAATAAAGTAAAAAGTGTGTGGTTCAGGTTTGTGCAAAGGAGAGAGAATTATCTGGAACCATACATTCTTTACTTAAAAGGGAAAGTGACAAAATTAGTGGGACATCCGAAAAAGAAAGTTGACAAAGTTTTAGGAGACGGAGAGAGTATGTCACTGTTAGTTTTTGGTCACTAACAGTTACGTCACTCCCGCCACCACATATGTCATTAAAAATTTTTCGTCTGACTTAAAAAAATAAAAAACTAAAAAAGGGGAAATTAAATTAAATTTTCATAAAAACAATTCTTGTAACATTTCTGTCAGAGATTTCCGATAAGCCAAAGGCTCGACTATAAGCCCGCTTCCCAGGACCCGACCCGTGTGATCTTATGTCGTTATTCTGGTCTAGTTTGGTCATGTACCTTAAAAAAACGGGGCAAAAGGGTCAAATAGACTCGTCCACAATACCAAATCAATCACTTAAACCAATGTACTCTAAAAACCGTCATATACATGCATTTACTCTTAAAAAACAATCAACTAACCCAAAATACTTGAAAATGACCTTTAATAGTAGGTTACCTCCCATTTTAATTTTAATTTTTTTTATTTTTTAATTTTTAATTTTTTTGTTTTTTAAATTTTTCAATTTTTAAGATTTTTTAATTTTTACATTTTTTATATTATAATGTTTTGTCCATTCACGTAGGAAAAAAATGATGGATAGTTTGTCGTTATCAACACGTTTCCTCCGAAATAACCCGATTTGGGAGTTGAGCAGAGCCGGCCATGAGGCCAGTTGGCCTAGGCACTTGCCTAGGGCCTCACTTTTTTTGGGGCCTCAAAAATAAAAATAAACTATGTAGTATTACGTTGAAATTGTTTTTGGAGTTTAACTGTTTGGACGAGAAGTGGAGAACTCTTTCATCTTAGACGCTTAGTTGATCACGGAGTAATTGATAGTGCGGTTCGCACTGGAGCTTGTTGTGGAGTATTATATTTTGTCATTATCTTGCTTTTTTGTTTAATTGATACGAGTAACATTTTTTAAAGCTTTTGGTTAATACTTCATATAACTTACTAATAGTTGCAAACGTGTAAAGAACTAATGATTCCTATTAGTGATTTTTTAAAATATTTGTAATTGTAAGTGTTGGGTGTTTAGTTACTTTGCTACTAATATTTTATAATTTCAATAGTAATTGTTTTTAAATTTTTTTGTTGATTTTTTTTCTATTAATTATTATCTATGTATGCTAAATATGTAGGAAATGTCATCATGGGTAAAGAAAATTTGACTCTGAAAATATACAGAGAAATAATATGTCGAAAAGATATTTGATTATTAAATCGCTTAGTGACTCTATAGATCGACCGTAAAGATACATTTTTCTTCCTCAAAATGGTTGGCTATAAAAATGAGAATGTTGAATTACTTTTTTATCTTATTTTGATGACCATGTGTTATACAAATCACATTAATATGATGTATATCAAAATAAGTGTCACACTATCCTTGTTGATCGAGTTGTATCAAAATAAGAGTCACACTTCTATTTTTGGAAATAAATTCACCCCAAAAGTCACTTTAATAAAATCAGCGATACAACTACAGTATCAAAAATCTTCTAATTTGAAATTACGGAAAAACTTAATCGGTCACTTATTATGATACAAAGGTATATTAAACGTGTTTCGTCTAGGGCCTCGAAACCGCTGGAGCCGGCCCTGGAGTTGAGAATGGGAGGAAGCGGAGGATTTTGGAAGCCTTCGACTTTCCCCCCTCCCCCTATTCCCTTCAACTAACACACACAAATCACCCACTTCCCTCCCTTCCCTCCCAAATCCTCCAACCAAACAGAGTAGAAGCTCCTCATCTACTCATGATTTATGACAAAGAAGATTGACAGGTTTCCAGTCACCAGCCATTCTTCCATATGTATGCGCCGGAAGACTACCATCGTCAATCCATCCGGCCTTCTATATGGTCGATGCCCCCTTGGCTCCTTCATGTCACTTTGAAGCAAGACTTTAGGATTTTATCAATGTACTCTCAGCCAACTCCTTCCGCCGGATACCTCTTGCGCCAAGCTATCCCCCGGGGGCACTGTCACCGACACTCTGATTAATACCTTATTCGTGCATTCTGAACCTCCTCAACGGTGGATTTACTAAACAACGACCTCGTGTCCGTCGCCAAATGCATATTCAAGTGACAAGCCAACAGAGTAGGACCTTTGGCAGCTCCGACGGCGGAAGCAGGGTCTCTGCGTCGCCGGCGACTAATAATGCTTACATTCCCAACTCTAAAACTGCCGCTGCTATCATTCTCGCACTCGTTCGCGGCGGAGAGAATTTTCCTGAGCACATCAGCCTCAATCGGGTACATCGTCCAGTGGCAGAGTGGGTGGGTCTGATTTCCGGTAAACTCGACCAAGTTGATTGTTTTCATGGAGTATACGAAGTATGTATTTAAGTGATGCTTTTATCAGTATATGAGTTTATGTGATGAATTTGTGATAGTTGAAGGATTTATATAACCCTTTTTCAAAAAAGAAAAAAAACTATTTTCGTCCCTCCTTCCTAGTCATCTTTATTTGATATGATGGCGCAGAGTATATGCAGGCCCTCGATCATAGACCTCATAGTCATCTTTATTTGAGGATGTGGAGTCCATACCGGCCTCTCAGCCATAACTCCTAATCATCTTTATTTGTCGACGCGAAGTTCACGCTGACCCCTTGCCCACATACCTCCTAATCATTTTTATTTGATGGCTTGGAGTTTATATAGGCCTCAAGGCCACATCTTCCGGACATCTTTATTTCATGACTCAACCATCTTCTAACCATCTTCTAACCATCTTTATTTGACGATTAGGACTACATGTCATTGTGAGCTACTCACTGCATCCTCCCAAGTGCATAAGATGATCTTTGATCACACGCAGAGCTGCCTCAATCAAGGTTTAGCAATGGGATCAGATCAACAACCTTGGAATTTTGGCGGGCCCCTTGACAACAACAAAAGCTTATTCCACTAGCCACGTTGAATTGACACCTGGAAGATCCACACATAGCTTTACTCCTTTTCCCCTTGAGTACTCTCGTCTCATAGCGGTGAGGAACTTGTGATGGAGTATAGGCACTCGGACTTCCGACCTCATGACTTTTGGGCCCGAATATCGACTAACATACGCTCACTAGATATCATTTACATTATTGTACACTTTATTTATTCATGTATACCCACTAGAATAGATTTTTCATCATCATATTTATGAGTCTTTTATTGCAATCTAGCTTGCCAAGCTCAAGACCGGATGTCATGTCCACATTTTCTCGATAAACGCTCCTCTTGGGAACCATCATCCATTTAAGCGGCTGAAAACTCATTTATACATATCACTTCTCTCTCTAGTTCTGTCTTCTTTCATTCTTTGTACGACAATATATCAACATATTCATGTATTTTAATTAGAACATCAAATAAAACTTATGGAGTACTCCATACATATTAATAGCATATCTAAAACAAGTGGAGGCCCCAAAAAAATAGGGGTGTGTAGGGAAACTCCCCTTAACACTGGCTTTGCAAGAAACATTTATCAAAACAAAGTGCGATTACATATCACATGAACGAGTGAAAACCACCAACAAATTGAAACATGAAAAGCACCGTAATTCAAAAGTGTTGTCGGGTCAAAGCATGAATTATGAAGTTGGGGATTCGACCTTTTCGGAGGAATGAAAAGCACCGTAATGTAACCATAAATTGATTATCATTAAAAGATAGGGGATGAGGTATAAAAACAAAAACAGACGGACTTCATTTAATTTTAGCGATAGGAAAACAAACCATACATAGGGCCGGTCATACGTATGGTGTATATTTTACTAGAAGCATTTATCCGGGATCTCATCAAATGCTAATCATATCCTTGATGTGAAAAATCAACCATACATATTACGGTACGTATCTCTTTTAAGTAAATTACGAATGGTCGCCATGAAATCGGCGATTTTGAATTTCTGCATTTCTGAGTGCTAGCACGTTACGTACTCTTATCTCGGATAGTTTCCTCATCGGATTGGGCTAAGTGGTCTTCTATTATGTCCAAAGCATTAAGCTTGACACCACATATATGTATTAGCACAGATAAAACAGATTCCTGCCACCAATATAGCTCCACCACCAGGGATGGATTTAGGGGGGGCGCGGGGGCGACCGCCCCCCTTGGACTTTCAAAATTTTCTACCATATATGTAATATTTTCATAAAACTTTCATAATTTAATTAGATTCGCCCCCTTATCTTTTAATTTTCAAAATTAATATATAGTGTTACATAATGTAATACTTAATTGAAGATTTAAAAGAAGGAACATCTAAAATAATTACATAACTTAAACAAATAAACAATAGAATAACTCGTTGTTTAAGATTTAGGATACTTATTATATAAGAATTCCTAGTTTTGTAGTGTTTAATTATCTTTATTAGATAACAAGTACTTCATTTTGTAAAATATATATCACACAATATTAAATATCAGACACACTAATTACACAATTTTTAGATCACGTGAAATGAATCCAAAATATAAATGTTTATTGACATTTAATTACATAATTCATTTACTTCTTGCTTTCTAAAAATAATTTATTGCATAGATAATAAACTTTAAATTATTATATCATTAATACAAATATTAAAATATAATATGCACCATATATGTGTGTGTGTATGTGGTACATATTATTCTAAAAATAATAATATCATACATACTACTATTGTAATATTAAGAAAACTTCTCATGAGTCATGACTCACGAACACCCTCCTTGGTGGCCAGACAAAAATTACAATTCAATAATAACCGATTCATGAGGTTAAACAATGTAGAAGTTATTAAAAATGTATTGGTTGATGTCTTTGTCATCGTCTAATTTAAACTTAGAATGTACTACTTAATAGATTTAAATGTCGTTGGGATGTGTATGTATTAATGTCATTTTTTGAATAAAATTAGCCGCATAGCCCTACAGTAGCGGAAAAAATTCGCCCCGCTACACTAAGGAAAAAATTTCGCCCCACTACACTAACGAAAATTTTTTCACCCCCTACACTACCGAAAAATTTCGCCCCCCTTGAATAGAAATCCTGGATCCGTCCCTGTCCACCACTGTGCCATAGCTTTGACCTTTTCCTAAACACGACTCCCACCACGAGAAGCCCAAATCCTACACCATACGCAATGCTGTGACCCATAAATATAAATACACAGTTGGTTATAATTAATTAGAGTAATTAAGCTACATATAGTAGTTACGTCAATTAGAGATGAAGGGAGTAATTGTTAAGAAATAGTTTTAATTAATTCAAATAAATGTGGGAAACTAAAGAGTTGCATAGATACATGAAAAGACTTCCCAGAAAGTTCTAGTTTTAATGTTCTAATTAAATGATGTTTCAAATGCCTATTATATAAAGGCATCTTGTGTAATTCAAGGCAAGAGAGTTCCTGGACAAATTATGACTTCCTTCTCATATAACAAGTGCATAGTGTGTGCGTGAGTGTGTGATTATATCCGCAAGTTCTTTCTGTCTGGTTTTCTAACAGATTGGTATCAGAGCCGGCTCGTTTGATCCAAGATGATGTCCGGAAATCTGTTTGGAAATCTACCGATGGCGATCATGAAACTCTAGAAAGGAGAGTATGATTAGTGGAGCGTTCAAATGAGGAACCTGCTCGGCGCGTATGGTGTCTGGGACGTGGTTGAGGAAGGTTTTAACGAACCGGTCGAAGGAGCAGTATTAACAACAGCACAACGGAAGGAAGCAAAGGGAGTTTCTGGCCCATACATTAATAAACTACGGGCTAGATAAATCTGGGCAAGAAAGAGTCGAACACATGACAACCAAGGAGGCATGAAAGACTTTAGAAAAAACTTTCAGAGGTAGCAACCGAGTGAAACAGGTACGACTACAAACTCTCCGGGGTGAACTCTCCGGGGTGATCAATGGGTGTGCATATCCATTTGACCCACTGTCAAAAATCAGAGTAACAACCAGCACTATAAAGTGTCTGACAAACCATATACCACCTTTGTCACACAAAAGCATGGCATCACATATATCAGCCGGTGTTATTTTCCTCCCATCTTTCTTAAATATAGCCCTCCACTCCTTCAGAATGATGCTCGGTTCGTGGTTTTTTTGTGGCACTATATGTTTACCTCCTATAGGCAATCCAAAGACACGTGCCACATCTTCTTCTGAAATATGCATACTGGCTCCCTCTGCAAGCCTTATAGTGCAGTTTCTTGGATTGAAATTTTCAACAACCCATGATGCCATTCTTGATGGCAACTGTGAGATCTCTAGATTTAGGAGGCCACCGAATCCAATGTCTCGAACTGCTTTCTTTTGATCTTCGTTCATCGCTTTCATTGCTTTCACAAGTAGACGTGGAGAACATCTTGTTTGAATGGCATTCACCTCTGTTTCCATCACTTTTCGTGGCACTTTCCTATCCTCTTTTGGGGATGCAAAATCATCATCGCTGTCTGTGCAACCATCCACATCCTTGTTCGACACTTTTTGTTTTCCATCTCTTTTTCTCTTTTTCAGATTTGCATCTTTCCGCACACACACTGCATTATCAAAACAAACAACCAAATAACGGGTTTTAGTCATTTATAGTTTCACGCAATGTAGTGATTTTATGTAAACCAAAACTCACACAATGCACAACAGAGATCATTTTTATGCCCACACATATTAACGAAAATTAACACAGTTACTTTTCACTTGAAAATACTCATACAATACTAGTCCCTTACAAACAACAAAGTGCACAAATGCTTTTAGCTAAATGCGTTTACTAGTCAATTAAAATATTACATCATATAAATCATGATCCAGATCAACCACTTTCACCATCAGTCATCAGTTTTTACACATATTTGTCATAAGATTAAGTTGGTACCCACTTCTAAGCGATACACATTCATTCATCAACATTTGCACAAATGCATCTACCAAAATGCACATCTGATTCAACTACGTCCACAAAGTTAAGTATGCACACAAATGGCAACCCACAGCACATTCTTTTCCACACACACTCAATTATATTAACACATTTCTAAATGCACGAATGTTTTTAGCTAAATGCAACTACTACTGATGTAGTTTCCAAAATTTACACAATGCACACCACAGATCATTTTATGTAAATCGTCCTCCCAATTTTAAGCGATACACATTCATGCGTCAACATTTGAACAAATGCGTTTACCTAATTGCACATCCCTTTCACGTACATTAACACAATTACTCATTCACAAACAACGCACACCACACACATTCCCTTTCCACACTAAATCAATTATATTAACTGAATTGTTCATGCACAAAAAAAGCAAACCCCTGCTCATTCTTTTCCACACGCCCTGAATTAATTTAACACAATTAGCCATGCACAAATGTTATCATCTGATTGCACCTACTAGCTATTCAAGTATCTTCCAATTGCTTTTTGATACATCATAGAGTCCATGTTGTTCTCAAACCCACGCACTACACTCTCTAGAATACAGAAATTATTTTAACTAAATGCACATTCCATTTCTGCAAAACACATCCAGAGGCGTTTCCAAGTCCCACAAATCTAATTCAACCCCCACTGGGGATTGCGGACTACGGATTGCACATTCCACATTCGATCAAATTCATTAATTTAACTTTACAATTGAATGACATGCACTTACATTCTTCTTTGGATGCACCGGTTCCTTCTTCTCCACCGCCGTCCACCACCACCTTTTCCACTCCACTCGGTCCGCTCGTGCATGCTCTCAAACCCACAGCTGTCTCGACGACGGCTTCAGGGACTGTTTTTGAAGCATTGTTGATTGACATCGCACCTTCCATCGATGCCTCGTTCGATTTCTCCCTTAAAGCCTGTTCTCGTTTTCCACTCGACCTCGTCTTTCTTCTCTCCATGGTTTAATTTAGTTTGCAGATTTTGAGAAGGCACTTACCAAATGAAAAGTCTTCTATCTTTGGTAATGGTGTTAATGTTGGGATACGGAAACCAACGCCGCCTTTTTTCTGCACCCAGCGTGCGTTTTAATAAATTATCAAATGACAAAAATATCCCTCACGTGACAATTTTTAAGTTGACCAAAAGCTGATATTAATTTCTTTCCTTTTAAAAAAAAATCGGTTCCCCCTATTTTCCATTCAATCTCACCATCCGATTTCACAGATCTATGGTCCAAAACCGTTCTTATTTGGCTCCCTAAGTAGTGTTTTTACTTGAATCAAACCCTATATATATATATATATATATATATATATATATATATATATATATATATATATATATATATATATATATTATGCATCCACACGATAGGATGAATATTTTCACTCCCCCGCCCGCCCTCACCACATGGAATCCTTGAACATAAGCCTTCTTGAGGTAAAAAGCCAAATAACTCTAATTAGTCTTTCTATAGTAGTAAGGCTAATGCCAATACTAGTGTGCAAGTTTGTTTTCAATTAAATATTGACAAACTGGCTATGGGTTGCATGGCAAATAATGTTGGGTGAAAATGCATGTTTAATCGGAAAATAAAGAAATTATTTAAATAAATAAATAGCCAAGAAATCAGAAACAAGAAGAGACAGAAAGTCAAAGCTTGTGCAACACACAATTTCCTTAAAACGTATTTGTTGCCTCTCATGATGTAAGAAGCGTTGTAGCGGTAGTTTCTCATGATACGGTGGCTACGAAGAACCGTATGAGCACACAATCATCGGTTATTCCGACGAACGAAAAAAAGTGAGACCACTGAGGAAATTTCAGAGAGGTTGAAGTGGTTTTTAGCTCAAAAGCACGTGAAGACTGTGTTGTGTCGTGTGTTGTTGCAAATCACCTGCCAGCTATATATAGGCCGGGACGAATTTGCTTGTGTTAAGTGAACTTTAATGTACCTGAACGTTGGACATAAATGGCAGAACGTTGGACATTAACATGTAGAAAACTGTCCATTTAAAGACGCATTAAAGGAGTTGAACATTGGGCTATAAACACTCAGAACCGTTTTGGTGCGACCAGAACAGAAGGCATTTCTGTTGGGATAGAACAGAAGGCGCTTCTGGTGCAAACGTTATAGGAAGAAACAAAAATTAATTCTGAAACCACATATCAAATTGAAGTCCTTAACAAGGGGAATCTGAAATCAATTTGACCTGGTCCGAAATATTGTCCGAAATTAATCATTGCAATTTTAACAAATATTTCCAACAAATAAAAGTTATGTTGTGAATAAGGTCCCATAGTAGTTTTTTATACATGCAAAAGTCATTGGCACGGGGCATAGAAGTTACAATGAAGTAAAGTTTTGAGTTAGTTAGTTACCTTTCATGCTGGGGTGGTAAGTGATTATCATATTTTGTGTGATCTTTGACTTAAGAAAGTCTTGTCAAACTCATTCAGAAGAAGATTAAAAATCAACAAAAGCTAGCTAGTCAAACTCACTATCTTTGAGATAGTACTGCCACATACATGGAAATAGTTATGTCTCAAGGATTATTTAACGTACGGAGTATAATTGATATAATTTCCATAAAATTACTTTTGGATACTTGATTTTTTGTTAAATTAAATTGCATTTTTCATTTCTCACCCAGTCTCTTAATAAGAGCCTATATTTCATAACTCGTATTCAACTTATTAGCTAGTCTAAACAGTTAAACTTTTTAAGGAAGCTAGGGTGAACTTCTGATTTGATAAATTTGATGTTACTGTTATGGTTGAATTTGCTTACAATGACTCTTTTATTTGTTTTTAAAATATTTCTTTTTATTTTTTAATAAATTTTTTTAATACTTTTTTATTAGTTAACTAATTCAATCGTTCCAAAAAAATAAATTGATCCAATCGTTCTAGTGAACTTTTCCAGTAAGAGAAAACTATTAATGTTGTCATTGTACTGTCACGAAAACGTCAATTATGTCCCCGCACTTCAAAAAACAATCAAATTCTCGATTTTTGAAAAAACATTCATTTGAGTCAATTAGCAGGTTACCTGCCACGTCAACAGTCACCGTCTGACGTGGCACACACGTGGCAGCCCAGCCAACAATGACTTTGCTGACGTTGCGCCCATGTGGAAGCATAGACAACCATTTTCCGATGATGTGGCACATACGTGGACCGCCTGGTGTGTGTCACGTCAGAGGGGTGACCTGCTGACATAGCAGGTAACCTGCTAATTGACTCAATTCAAGGTTTTTTTAAAGTTCGGGGATTTGATTGATTTTTTTTTTTAAATACGAGAATCTAATTGATTTTTTGTGATAGTACAAGGATCAAATTGACAGTTTTCCCTTTCACTAATTTTAGTAGATTCAAAGGATTGTAACCATTGTAAACCGGCTATATATTATGCTTTAAAAACATAAATAAAATGCCCTTTCCAAATTTTTTACATTTAAAATGAATCGAATCTTTGTTTAGAGTAATAAGAACTACGATAGTATATACTACCTCCGTCCCGGTGGATTTTGCCAAGTGCAAAGTAGGTGAAAAATAAGAATAGTAAAAACTGTATGGTTGAGATTTGTGCAGAGGAGAGAGAAATGTGCAGAACCACAAATTAGTTGCTTTTATAAGAAAGTGACAAAATTTTTTTGGAGTACAAAAAAAAGAAAAGTTGGCAAAGTCCAATGGAACGGAGGGAGTAGTTAATCTTGTGAGTCTTGTCAAACTGATGACTAGATAGATGGGGCTCAAGCTGATGTCCAATATCATTTTTAAACCACAATAGTTAATTAGAAAATAATAAACCTATGCTTAACCAAATAATTCACCCAAACTGAACCTATTATATACTCATGTTTCTTTATCATTTGCAGACATCTTTTGTTTTATTGATGCATTTCATCATGCAAATTTAGTTTTAAGTAGACTAACTCTCATGCTTTCCTTGCCTACACTTTAGCCTTATATTATTAACACGAAGTAATATATTATTATATATATACATATGCGTAACTACACTTCTTCACATTACTCTGGATATCCATTATCATTATATTTCAATTTGTTTAATTTTTAAGCAAAACTTTTCAGATTTATAATTTTGAAGCAAGAAATTAAAATATGAAAAGGCTTAATGGCTGCACAGAGAAACTGCCCTCAAGAAGAGGCTTTTGGGGTTATGATTATGAAGAGGAAACACAAAAAACTGGGTCTGTTTCAAGAAACAAATCTGGTAATTGGACACCCATTTCCAGGAAAACAACAGGTAAGTTCTATCTTCACCTACAATGTGTAGTTTAAGGCTGTGTTTGGTAGTCTTATGGGATCATGACATTTTGTTTGTGACCAGAATAAGCAGACTAGATAGCACAAATAGCAGAACAAACACACCTTCTAGTGATTCGATCAAATAATACTCATCAAATGGGCTTTAAAACTCAAATTGTGTATTATTTCTGATTTCTTTTTGTGAACATTGATTCATTTGGGGTAATTAAACTAGGAATGGTGAGGGTAGAAAAGAGTTGCAGGGCGCGAGGGAGTAACCGGCAGAAACACGATATTGATCTTCAGGATGGTAACTTCACAACCCAGGAAGAGGAACTCATTGTCAAACTTCATGCCACCATAGGAAGCAGGTATAATAAAATCTATGCTTTCCTGGGAATCTTTTGCCTTTTTTTTTTTTTGCAAAATCAGCGCTAATTTTTATTCTACTGTCAATTAATTCTCTATTATGCCACCTTAGATTGACAAACTATGAAAACTCAAATCAAGATAGAACATTTTAAGATAATTTTATACACAAACTCTGTTTGGAGGCACATAGAAAGGCATGAGGAAATGGATCTTTTGTACTCTGGTGGAATCATCTATTGACATGTTACTTTTAAAGACTAAGTCAATTGAATGTAATGGTTGAATACTTGAATTTAGGAAAATTTACCTAAATATGACTAAATAAAAGGATAATTGTAACAATAGGAATTTAAAGTTTAAATTTTTAAAATAGGACTAACTCTTCCTATTCTACCCTTTCCTTTGTCCTTCCTAATTGAATTTTTTAAACAATCATTATAAAATATAAAAAATAAATAAAATAAAATAAAATAAAAAACGTAAAAAAAAATTAAAAAATATACAAACCTCAACCACCACCTCAGCCACCTTCCAGCACCGCCACCTCCGGTCTCCGAAAAAGAATGCCAAGTTGGGGGAAATGTCATCATGATGGCAATTTTGAAGAGAAAGCAAGAGAAAGCTAGATATTTCCAAAGAATAAAAATATCATCATCATGACATTTTCAGTGAAATGTGGCATTTTTACATAAGATGGCATTTTTTCTGGCGACCGAAGCTGGTGGTGCTGAGAGGTAGAGGACGCATTAGCAGTGACCTACATATTTTTAAATATTTTTTAGGTATTTTATTTTATTTTTTAGACTTTTTTAAAGTTTTTTAAATATTTAATTTATTTATTTTTTGTTTTTTATTATAATTTATTTTTTCACGTTTTCATTAGGAATTTATAAATATTTTTTATATTTTTATTATAGATAAAACTATGATTTTCTTATTAATAAAATAAAGGCTAAAGGATCAAATAGGCCCTTGAACTAACTTAAAATGTTCAATTAGCCCCTTATGTAGGAGGTTCTTCCCGGCCGTCGCCAATTAGAGTGGTTCCCGGTGGAATTGTTTGATAAAAATTTTTGAGCATCTTCTTCATTAAGTCTAGTTTACTCATACCAAATTTCAGCTAAAACTTTAACCGGGAAGGCAGTCAAATGATTTTTTGAAGATAACTGCGCAGTTAAACAGCACGGTACATTTCGGAAAATCATTTGAGTGCCTTCTGGATTTAATTTTTAGCTGAAATTTGATATGAGTAAACTAGACTTAATGAAGAAGATTCTCAAAAAGATTCATCAAAAAATTCCACCGGGAACCTCCCCAATTGGCGATGACCGGTCTGAACCTCCTATATAAGGGGCTAATTGAACACTTTAAGTTAGTTCAGTGGTCTATTTGTCCCTTTAGCCTAAAATAAATCTATTGGAAATTATAAAAGGAGGTAGAATGGGAAGAAGAGACATACTCCATCCGTCCCTTAAAACTTTGTCATCTTTCCTTTTTGGGACATCCTAAAAAACTTTGTCACTTTCTCTTTTAATCAATTATTTTGTGATTCCTGTTATTTCTATCTCGTCTATACAAATCTCAACCACACAGTTTTTACTTTATTATTCTACGTCCTGGTCAATCTTGTCAAAGTTTTAAGGGACATAGGTAGTATATTAGTCATATTTTGGGAATAAAGGGATTTTACTCTAATTGTTGAATTTTAGGCTTATTTTAGTCCTATCAATATCTAATACCCGTTGAATTTATTGAATTATGAAAAATTACTTACAATTCATTTTATATATAAAGAAAAGAAAAGGCTTTAATAAAACGCAACTGATATAGTCTTTGTCAACCATGTCAACTAATTCATTAACAAAAATAGCTACAAATTTACTTATTTCATTAAAACCAAAAGTTACGTACTTAATAAAAAGTAGCCTCTTAACAACTCTTATGAAATTTAGCTTTGACTGTAATTTGTTGGTCTGGTTTGGTAATGTCTAGTTTCTTTGTATTTTTACAACTATTCAAGTCTGGGCTGGTCTGATCTGATCTGGGACAGATTAGAGTCCAAGTAAAAACATTCTAATTATTAAACTATTATTATAGGGTAAGATTAAGAATATCTTAAATTAGATTGAATTTTTTTATTTGATTTGAATTGATCCAGTCCGATAAAAGTTTGTTCCTCTGTGTATTCTCACAAAGTCTAATTTGATTTGATCAGTTTGTATTTAATCTAATTTGATTTTGTCTAGAAACAAGTCTAATTAAAAATATGTTAAAATGAAAGGACACATCAATAAATAAAATGTACTTGGAATATGCAGGTGGACAATAATAGCACAACAGGTACCAGGAAGAACAGAGACAGAGGTGAAGAACGTGTGGAACGCAAAGCTGAAGAAGAAGCTCACTGCCATGGGGATCGATCCCGTCACCCACAAACCCTTCTCCCAAATCCTCTCCGACTTTGGCAACATCGGCGCCGGTTTCCCCCCTTCTTCCCCCCATTCCTTTTCCTCCAGCCGCCGCAGCTTTGGCTCCCTCACCAACCCTCCGACACCACACAGAGCAGAGCCACCACCAGAAGATTTCGGCGGCGGCGGCGGCGGCGATCCTTTCCAGCCGGCCAGCAATTCCGATGACCCCCATCATCGCCACGCCGCCGACCTTTTCGCCGAGCTCCAAGCCATTAAATCCATCACAAATAACAATTACTCAGTGGTCGAAGCTCCCCTGTCTTCTTCACTATCATCATCTTCCTCATTAACATCTACTGTGGATAATCACCATCATCATCAAGAGACCAATAATGGGGGTTTCAGCTGGTGCGATTTTCTGCTTGAAGATGCTTTTTTGCCAGCTCAGCAATCAGAGTGGGACCCTCCACAGGAGCCGGCAGGGAATCGTGATGACGGGGACCCTCCTGAAAACGACAGGGTTTCTTCGTCAAACGACGACCATCTTGAAGCTGCTGCTTCGTCTTTTATGGAAGCAATGCTGTCTCGGGAAGACGAAATGTTTTTGGATTTCCCTGGACTCTCTGAGGAACCGTTCTACTATTGACCCACTTCCTTAATTACCCATTACCTATGAGTTAATATTTGACTAATTGTGATGCATAAGAAAAGAAATTGAGTTTTAGTCATAATTTTAGGTCAATTATTTTATTCCGCATCATGGAAGGTGTAGATTTCATAACATAATTGGAATGTACTTCGTATGTTTTACCTGTTGTATCGCTTTTCACTTGTATGCCTCACAAATTTTGTTTTAATATATGGTGACATATATTTTATGATAGAAATTAAATAGTCTATTATATATGGGGTAGTAAAAATATTGTTACAAAGTGAATTATATATCCATTATTAGGGATATATAACTACAGTTTGTGTTTTTATGAGGATTCAATTATATATACTCATATACAGTTGATTTATATAACTTTCTTCTTTTCTAAACTTGTTTTGAAACAATGCAAACTCAGCATTTGAATTCTAAGTGCCCGGCATTACTTTACTATACACGTACATAAGACTTTGAAAAATGATATTGTTTGAAGCATTACTTTACAAACACAAAAAAATTGTAGTTTTTAAAATTAAATAGTATCAACAGATTATATATCAAATGAAACTAATTAAACAACAGATAGTTTTTTTATCAAACATTTACTACTACGTACATTTTTTAATATCTTTTCTGACACTAAAAATAACAGTTATTAAAAAGCTTGTAAAAGTATATTTTGCTTATAAAGTTAAAAAATACGGCCGTCTCCTAGGCACGTCCAAGGGTTTTTTCCGGCGTCGGCCTATCCAGGCCGTGGGTTCGGCCGATCTCTCCCCGGTAGGCAACTTATCTCATATATCTTCTCAAGGTATTGAGTTTTGTTGTCATCGTGGGGTTTGTTTGGTTCGTTTTTGTTTTCTTTCTGACTTGCAAGTGCGGTGAATCTGGATTCTGTTTGAACGAAGCTTTTGGTTTTTCTGCTTTAGAAGAGCAACGAACAAGCGAGGAAGCTTTCAGGATGGTTCGAGGCTTTTGATTTTGGCAGGGGACGGGTTTAGCAAGGGGAAGATGGGGTGCTGCAGATTGTTGAAGACGAAGTCCAGCTGTACATTACTCTTCGGCAGTTTGGGAACGAGCTTTGACGAACCAGATGGCTATTGGTGAAAACATGGAGTTTCTGGTGGTCGACATCGTGTTGTCTGACTGGAAAATCAAATTTTAGGGGTTCATTGGTGGCCTATGTGTGACAGAAGACGAAGGGATGTTGATCCGCCCACCTCCAGAACCGCCGCTTTGGAGGATTTCTGCGACTAGGGTTTGGACGAGTATTTCTATTTCTGCTGATTCGATTGTGTTTTGTTTTTTTATTTTGACTGTGTTTTGTTGCTTATTTATTTTATGTTGTAAGACTTTTGCACTTGGATTGAGGGACAGGGGCGGATTTACTTTAGTTACAATGGGGGCACTTGCCCCAATAAATTGCTAATTATACGTTGAAAAATTTTAAAATTATTGTTATTTGGACAATATGCCCCCAACAAAAAATTAACGTGCCCCCATTAAATTTCCAACTGGACGTATATATTGCTTGTAATATTATTATCAAATTCAAATATTCAACAACTAATTGATAGGTGGAGGCCAAGATAAATGAGATTCTACTCTAATTTATGTGATCCCACCTCTACGTTTATACTATCGTATTTTTTTTTTGAAAACCTACGTTTATACGTAGTATTTCTTAATCTTAGTATAACAAGGTTCAATCTAAGTTTCTAAAAAAATGTTTAATTTAATTCATTAGTTTTTATATTAGTTTGTGATTTGTTGGTTTTGAATGAAAAGTATTACTTTACTAGTACTTGATTGTTTGTTTTAGATGTAACTTAGTACGTAGTAATAATTAATTTGTGTTATAAATACTATATTGAAACATTGGCATAGAAATACATGTTTGAGAGGAATAGTTTACACGCAATTATTCCAATTGGGACAATTTTTAAGTCTTAAGGATTTTAAATGATATGGAATCATTCCAAAAAAGAAGTTAAGAGATTTATAGTTTTTCTAAAATTCATACGGAGTAGTATTTTCTGTAATAATATTTGATTATTATGCGGAGTATTTCGTAAAACATTGTAAATGATACCGCCGTCTCTAACACATTTGTGCCCCCAATAACAAAATTTTCTAGATCCGCCCCTGTTGAGGGATGAGAGGCAGGGCCGTTTTTTAGGGAGTTCAATAGGTTATCCAGAACAGGGCCCCCAAATTTGCGGGGCCCCAATTTTTTAAAATTTTATTAATATTATATAGTAATATTATATATTAATACTAATCACTAAAATATAGTTAAAAAGAAAAATATAAATCCATCATTTTTTGTTGGTCCTTTTACCCTTTTAGTTATCTTTTAATCAATATTCAATTGATTTGAGTATATAAGTATTTAGATTGAGGGTTTTTTTAAAACTTTTTATATTAATGTGGGGCCCCGTTTTTAGATTTTAAACCAAGGCCTCCAAATTTATTAGACGGCCTTGATGAGAGGTCTGCGGTAATCGTCGTGGTTTTGAATATGCCCAATTTAGGATTAGCGAGTTATATTGCTTTGTCAAAGGTGATTAACTCAGAGTCGTATCCACGGGCGGATGATTACATGTGATCTTTTTGTTATTACAATCCCTTTCTGAATGTTTTTTATGAATGAATGTCCGTTCGATGATAACAAAAAAAAGTGTATTTTGCTTGTTTCGTCGGAGAACTCACAACCGCGCGCTATTTTAAAGTGTACATGCGCTATTTTGACTTGCAAATTAAACCACGCCAACCAAATGAACTACACTAGGCAAGCTCTGTGTGACAGGTTGATCGAGAAGCTAAGGTGTTGATAAAGACGAACTAATTAAACTCTCTGAGTGTTATTTCATTTAAAGTATTCTAGCGAAATTCACAATAGGACTCATGTCTACGATCCAAATGGACTTGCACGAGCATTTACAATGTTTACGGATCGGAGTCCGGAAATGATTATTGTATATTTCCATATATATATGCCATACTGTCATGTGCACGGTTACGAGCCCGTTTGGTAGCACCAAAATCGGCTGTTTTGGCTGATTCTGCTGAAATTTATGATATTCTGGCTGGAGTGGCTGTTTTGGCTGATTCTGCTGATTTAAGAAGAAAATATTTTAAAAATATATTTTATTAATAAATTAAAGAAAAAATTATATGTAAAAATAGCTAAAATGGTCCTCTACAGTGACTTCAGCCAATACAGCCAGAAAAGTAACTTCAACCTTACTTTTTCGGCTTATTACACAATTCAGCGCGCGAAAGTAAAAGTTACGTGTTTGGTGAAAAAGCTGGCTTATAAGCCTGATAAGCCGAAAACAGAGTTCTCCAAACGGGCTCTACATTATCATGCAAAAAAGAATCGATTTTTTGCGAAATGAGGAGTCACAATACTCCAAATGCTAATTGCATAAAATAAAAATGAGCAAAACCAAAACAAAAGGATCAGCATGATAAAAAGTGATTTGTTTTCACTCAAAACAAAAAAGATACGCTAACTAACAATCTAATTCTTAAAATATCATAATTTATATATTATTTAAAAAAAATTATGATTTTATACATACGAAGTATAATATAATTTCAGTGAAGAAAGATTCATCAAATTTGCAACAGATAAATAACTAAATAGAAGAGGGGGCAAATTATATATAAAATGTGATTAATAGTTTTTCATGATTTAAGTCATCAGATCAACAATATATTTTATCTGTAATATAGATCCATGATAGATCGCTGAACTTCACCTTCAATAAGGGTAGATTTTTTTTTCAATGTAACATATCTTTTGGGTCCTTAGAAAAACTCTAAGAAATGTTCTTTATATTGACAATGAGCAAATACTAAAAAGTTGTAAATTAATAATATCAATTACACATGGAATCCAACTTTATATTCATCATTATAGAGTTATATGGAGTATTGTGACACCATCTTTACCATTTAATTTTTAGTAGATGAGCTCACTTACAACTTGAATGATAGACATGATGCTACCATACCCCATATGATTCCATAAGGTAGTCATATGAGTCTTCATAAACTTACACGTGAGATAACTGGATAAGTATACTACTAGTGTCACTAAACATTACTACCTCCGTCCCACTAAGTTTGGGACAATTCGGTTTACGATGCTTGACCGACGATAAAGTAAACAGATTCCTATCCGCACTCAAATTATTTTTAGAAAGAAAAAATTACATATTCAGAAATTGCATTAAAAACTTTACAAAGTCACAAAAATTAGAATCAAATTTGATAAAAATTTGATATATAAAATATTAAGATTGATTTGTATTGATCAAGTGAATAGTGTCTAAAACAATCCTAGCGGGACGGAGAGAGTATATTACTATTTGGTTTTAACCTATTGCCTTGGTTCTAGTAGAGTAGTATTTGATTTTTTTCTCTATATATATCCCATGTCACTAGGGTAGATAAAGTAAAAAGTATCTTGCGATTGTCAAAACATCGGAGAATCGAGATGGAATTCATGCAACACAGTCAAATGATTTTCAAGAGTGTTGAAATTAATTACGGTACTCGGTAACCGAAAAACTGACACATATTGTGAAAATGATAGCTTATACACTATAGTTGCCATTATGCTGAAGAAGTTCATTTATATGAGGGTGGATACTGATCCACTGTGCATAATAACGTAACATTAATTACGGCCAGCCATAACAAAAAGTGTATGAAACCATGTATGGACAAAGCAACCTGTTTTGGCCTAAAGGATATAAACTCGGCAGTTTTTTGTTTGGGTACTTAACGTTAAAAAATGTATCAACTTTATTTTCAGATAACTATTTGGAAGGAAATAAGATATTGAGGAATGTTATACATTAATTTATGTGCAAGTTTCGATAGTTTTTTCAATTTTATTTTTAGTTTCCGTGTATTTAATTTCTATTTGGTGAATACTAAAACATTTAAAAACACTAATGAATTTCGTTAATTCGTTTTCCTTTACAATTACAAGGATAAAACGAAATATTAAAAAAAAAACTTTTCTTTAGGTTTTTCTTTACCATTACTCCAAAGTTCTTTAAAAGTTTTAAACATTTGAGCTAAAAATCGACTGATTTGACTGATTATATCCTACGAGTAATAGCCTGTATTTTGTCCAATATAGTTACACAATTTACTTTGTGTCCTCAATTGTTTTTGCAAGGTTTAGATATTAACACAATCAAAAAAAGATTAGAATATTCAATGTTC